AACTCGGTGCCCACTTGAAGTTGCACCAGGTCAGGAGTGTTCCAGGCCTCTGTGGACAGAGAAGCATCACAGAGACAACTGGAGAAGCTTCAACTGCAATAGTTATCTCTGACGTTCTTAAGGTTACTTTCACCCCACCCCACCTCCTTCCCTAGCGACGCCACTCCTGTTCTGTTCTCCAAGGCCACTGACTTAGCCTCTGGAAAGAATTAAAAAAATGAAAACCTGGGGGTAAGGGAAAGAAGAGATTGAGTCAAGGGTTATGAGACAGGGTACTCAAGCATTTCACCCCAAAACTGCCAGCAGGACCACTGCCCCCGAGCGGGGGTGCGCAGCAGTTGGACAGAGCAATCTGGACCCATCACAGTCCCTGGGGATGGACCTAGCTAGGGTTGCCAAAGGCTGTAGTCTCCCATCCCAGGCCATCTCAGCTCAAGATATGAGCCTCACCTATAGGGCCAGGCAGTGAACCCTCCCAAGCTATGTTAGGTGGGTGCAGAGCAGGCCTGGCCCCCTCCAAGGAGGATAGAAAGGGGTGAGGAAGACGTAAAGGCCACCCACCCGCAGCTCTGCAGCTTCAGGTTCTTCCCACCCAGAGTGAGCCGGTGGTGGAAAGATTCGGAAGCCGCAGGAGGTGAGCCAACGTGAGAGGATGATGTGGATCGACATGGGAGTGCGAACGGTGTGTCTGTGTGGGTGCGAGGTAGAGTGAGTCCCGGGACTCCCACAAACCCTGCCTGATGGTTTTGCCAAGCCAGGTGTGGCTGCCGGGATGCTGGACCCGAATAGGGAGAAAACAGTTAAGTAGAAAGGGAGGCGCCAAGCGTTACCTCTTCAAAAGCTCCTCCGCCTTGAAAATAAAAGGAAAACAGGGAGGAGGGAGTGGGCTGCATAGTGGCCCCTGTACCCAAAGTTACCAGCTTGCTCCTTGTAGGGGCGGGGCAGCACGGTCCTTGGGGAGTACCCTGACCCGGATTTCCCCTACCGGAGGTTTCCGCAGTGGCCATTCAGGGGCGAGGGCCTTTCTGTCCCTAGTCACCCCCAGCCTTGACCCTGAACTAAGACACTTGGACTACCCTGGTCAGCTTTACAGGTGGCCTCATTTGTTACAATGCTACCCTTACCACCAGGGCTGCCTTTACTGCCTCAGGGACTCAGCGGGATGGGCTTGAAGTTTTCTGATAATACTTGACCATTCTATCTAGTCTGGAAAAATTTAGATTCCCCCCCCCCCCAAAAAAAAAAAAAACAGAAAAGTCAGCAACAATCAGTTGGGACAGGAGGCTTGGGAGTGAGAGGAGAAAAGACATTTCTACAGTCTTCGTTCTGAGCTGCGGGTTAAAAATAGAAACGTTTCATCTCGGCCAGGCTGCTGGGGTAGCACTAGGACTCGGGTCTGTAACTTTCTGGGGCATCAGACTATAATCAACCCACAAGTATTTATTGAACCCCTACTTTGGGTCCTGAGAGGAACTTTCTACGCACGTTCTATTTTAATATTTTTTAATTAAAAGTCTGCCCAAAGTTCAACTAATTCTCGATGAGCGTTATTCTGAGGCCTTTATTTCTTAACCTATTGAATGGTTTCTGTGACATGAGTTGGGGCAGAGAAGGAGCTGAGTCTCCAGTGCATACTTGGTAAATCTCTGCACGTCTCTAGGCTCCTGTGCTACCAATGAACTCATCAGAACATACTGGGACACACTTCCCCTACCAACCCGCCTAGGCCTTCCCAGTCGAACCCAGCGAGGCTGGCGAATAGCACAGAGCTGGGGAAACTCGAGGCCCCCCCCCCCCCGGTCCAGCCTGTGATCTGCCCTTGATCTCAGGGTTTTGTGCGGAAGAAAAAAAAAAAACCACTTGAGACTGAAAACATCCGTCTGAAAAAAGAGACAAAGGGGGTAGGGGGTGGGGTGGAGGAAGAGCGAAGGTGCCGGCGGTGGGCAGAGGAAAGGGGCCCCGGGAAGCAAGGGATGGTGTGCGGGTACTGGTGTCCCGCAGCGATCGGAGGACTCTGGAAACCTTCCCTTGCCCGTGCGGTTAGCAGAATTCACGGGGCTTCTGGGCTGGGAATAACCTCCTCCCCTCCAGGAACTTCGGAGAACATCACTGAACTGGGAGAAACTGATACCCACCAAGCCCGTTATCCTTGTGACCATTAATAATGCAGCGAGGATCACGATAATTAATAATAATAATGATGGGCCTCCCGAGGGAGCTCCAGCTGCCTCTGAATAAAGCGAATCTCGTGGTGAGAGGGGACTTATTCTGTGGTGGAGGGAGTTGAGCGCGAAGGGAGCGGGCTTCGGCTCATTGAAGTTCAAGTTGACGGCCATGGCAGGCAGGGACCATTCCTCCCGAGGCGGCAGAGATTCACAGCGCAGCTCTTGAGTCCTGCGAAAGGACGTTTCAGCTATGAGGCCCTGAAGTCAAGGCAAGTGCAGGTTAGCATTCAGGTCCTTTTTAGAACTGGCCTGGGGGGGGGGGGAGGGGAGAGGGATCCCGCGCAGCACTTTCACTCACACCTACCCCCATCCCAACCCCTTCACTCCCAAGCTCTCGAGCCCAGGTGCCAGACTGCTGTACCCTTTAAGTAGAGCGATTCTGGCATCTTCGGCAATCTTCACAAGCACGCTATGTCCCTCTTTTCTCAATCGGCTCCGGAAATTCGAAGGGCTAAGAGAAAGACCAAACAAGGAACCTGAATCAAGCCGTCGGGTTGAGGACTCCTTTGGACAAAGCCTAGAGGCGAGAGGCGAGAGGCGAGAGGGACTAGGAGCCATTTTGCTAGAAATACTTTCCCAGGGTCTCCATCCGTTCTAAGGCGGACTAGGAATGCACTTTCCGGCGACGATCTTTCTAGCCCAACCTCTCCACGTTGCTGAAAATTAGCAACAGCGCCCTAGACTTAACACGAGCTCGCCCATAAATGTGGAAAACAATTGCACTACCTTGGTTCAATGAAAGCTTTCATTTTGCTCCCAACTTCCCGAAAACAAGAAGGCCTCAAGGCCTTAAGTTAATGCCTCTTGAGTAATTTTTTTTTAATTTAGGGTATCTCCCCCTCCCCCCGAAAAGACTGGAAACCTTTGAAATAGAACCATTTCCTTCTTGTCCACGAAATGAATATTTAATCTGACTCCTTTGCCTACTCCCCCAGGGGTGAGGGCTCGGCGAAACCCTAAACGATTTTCCTCACAGCTTATAATTGTTCAATGAACTCTCCCAAGGCTCAATAACATATGCCAATTATTTTAATAATTTTGCTTAATATTATTAGGGGTTATAAATTTGATTTTAATAGAGGGTTGATTGCTTCAGAAGTTGGCGCTTAGGCAGCTCGAGGGCCGCTGGGAAAGGGGAATCTGGCACTTGTCACTCTGAGTATCACAAGCAGACACACACACACACACACACACACACACACACACTCTAGATGGGGTGTGCTCAGCCTGCCACCAAATAGGTAGCCTGGCCTGTGGGAGGTCAGTCTAGTCCTCTTCCCAAATGCCCTTGGGGCTGTCAAGCCTGACCCGGTGGCTCAACTCAGAGCAAGGAGAAAGTAGCAGAAAGACGTCGCAGTCTCCCGAGCCCTTTGAGCCCTTTGCACCGGTCTCAACCAGCCCTAGGCTTCACTTGCCCTTCCGTGGAACTGTTGGGACCTCAGGCGCCACCCGGCTCTTCTTCCTCCCAGGGGAGCAACTCCCATCGCTTGGGGCCTCTCAGAAGCTCAGGGACACCCAGTGGGAGAGAAAGCTCTCGATGGTTCAGGAATTGAGAAATAATTTCCATCCGTACCCTTTTATTGCTAACATTATTTTTGTTTTCTTTCTTTACAGCACCTTGTTTGAAAACTCACACCAGCTCATGTGGGAGTAGAAGGCACAGAGGCAGATGTTGCTGAAAACCCTGTGCTGGCTCACCCCCTTCACCTGGCAGTATCAGCCTTTATATTTTCTCCTATTTTACTTCGCTGCACTGGTGCAGAGCTGCTCTTTCCTTTGAGGCCGCAGATTGGGTGCTTTCCTATCAATGATGGCGAAAAAAATCTTAAGCATATTCTATTTATTACTTTCTCTAGAACGCCACAACTGTTGTTGCAGGGCTGCTTAAGATAAACAGGATTTATTGAGCAAGCTCTGCTTAAAATATCAAGGGGAAAAAACTCGTGGTAGAAACGAGTCCCTTTAAACTATAATCACTAGGCCAAGTTCAAAAACAAAGTAGTCCGCTCAGTTTTAAACGTGCAATTAAAAATAACTGTACCTCAGCTTTTCAGAGGGAGGGAGAGAGGAAGGGGGCAGGGTAGGGAAGGAAAACAAAGAATAAGGAAATGTTTAGTGCTTTTAAAGCCAGCCCAAATAGCTGAAAGAAAGGCATTCCCTTAGATAATGGGGCCATTAGACACTGTGAAGGTTCCTGCCGCCATTCCTCACGAGGGCTTTCCAAAAATTTAATTCATTCTCAGCTACCAAACAAAGGGATGTAGAAAATAATTTTGAGACTTTCTGCCAAAGGGGCAGTTTGGCCCATTCTCTATGCATAAATAGACCTTCCTCGGAAGAATGCAAGGTGGCACTTCCCCCACACTCCCCACAGTCATGCCTCAAGCTGCCTCCTTCCCACTCTCTTCAATAACTTTGCTAGGAAGGAAAAAGTATGTTCATGCATTTTCAACACATTTTATTATATTTCTGTATGCATTACTCTCAAAACATCACAAGAAATGATCAAACCACTTAAACCTTCAAATAAAAAAATCTGAAACAGTTTATGCCCACAATTGTACATATTTATAGTTAAGAAACATTCTTTATAAATATTGTTTCCTCTGTAGCAAGTTAATACCATAATTTAATTACAAATGGATAAATATGGCAACGGATATTTACAGAAGGGTGTTATTACGGAAAAAGCTAAGGGCACAACGTTTACTCCCACCCCACCCCCCCAATCGTTCATACAACAACTAACAAATCGAACTCGCAAAAGCACTGAAACATCACATGTAAACCCAGCTAACAGAAAAATACATTCACAAGCGTTGTTGGTGGTGGTGATGTGTGCTATGAGTTGCTGTGTTGAAGAAACAGAAGGGAGACTTTGGCACGGCTCATTTTTTTCCAGTCTATAGTTGCATGAAGTTTACAATCAAGTTGCCTCATTAAAAGGAACACAATATTTAATACCACAATACAAAATAAACCATTTTCTTCCACATTACTTAAAAAAGAAGTCGGGTAAACTAAAAGGGAAAAAAAGAAAAGGCCCGTCACTCGGGGGAAGGGGTTGGGGGAAGAGCGGGAAGGGAAGGAACGCAATCCAGGGTTTACAAATGGACAAACGTCTATCCACCAATAAGCCATTAAAATCACCGTGGAAAAGGAAGGAGTCCGCTATGGCTATGTACAGTTTGTCAGAAGACTGGGAAGCATGTGCGGGGGAAGAGTGGGCTGGGGTGTCGCTAGGGAAGTTTGGCTGGATATTTTTGTGGAGTTTACCTTCTTAAAATTTTTATGTTTTCAGCTTCAGAAACAGAGATTTTGCTTTTCATGCCTAGATTGTTGTTTTGTTTATAAAAAAAACTTTTAAAAATCCTTCTGCTGGTAAAATCTTTTTCATCACCATAAAAATCAGATTGATGGTTTAAACACGATCCTAAGGTGCCCTCGGTGGGTTTTGGGAGGGCTGTGGTGGAGGGGAGAACAGGGAATGGGAGAAAGGCCTGGCCCCTCACACGTACCATTCATTGAAGTTGGAGGAGAGGCCGCTATGGCCTCCGGCTGCCCCGCTGCCCCCTCCAGAGCTCCCGCCGCCCCCGCCGCCCGCCCCGCCGCCCCCGCCGCTGCCTGTGGCCGAGCCGCCTCCAGAGCCGCTGCTGCCAGAGCTTGCGCCTCGGTGCACCGCAGACACCGCGGCTGCCGCCGCCGCAGCTGCTGCTGCCGCCGCTGCCGCTGCCGGGGACAGGTTGGAGCTGCTTTGCGGCTCTGCGCTGGGGGACACCAAGCCCGGGGGCGTGGACGACTCGTAGCCAGAGCTGGCAGCCGGGGAGGACTCGGAGCCCTGAGGAGAGGACTCATGGACCTGCAAGACAAAAGCCGGGAGCGGGGACCAGAGGGGACTGGGTGTGAGTGCAGCTGCTGTGATCACGGACGGGTCCCCGAGCCAGGAGCATCCCACGAGTGTCCCTCGGCCCCTGGGGCCCCTCCCAGGCCCGCCGGGAGCTGCTGCTCGAGGTCCGCCTAGCCCTCCCGGCTACCGCGGTGGTACCTTCATGTGCTTCCGCAACGAGCTAGGATGCGTGTAGGACTTGTCGCACATCTTGCAGAGATAGGGCTTATCTGAGGTGTGGACATGCATGTGCTTCTTCCGGTCGCTGCTGTTGGCGAAGCGCCGGTCACAGCCCTCGAACTCACACTGGAAAGGTTTCTCCCCTGTGGACAGCAAACAGGGCGCTTGCTTACGGACACCCAGGACCCCAAAGTCCTCACCAAGGCTGCCAGGGTACAGAGGGGCAAGAAAGGGCTGAGTCTCTGAAACAGGTTGGATCCCTCTCCGTAGAACCAACTAATAGATTCCATCGTTTATTTCGTAATTTACTTCCCTTCACAAATTTCCAATAATTTCGGGGCGCTCCTGGCCCTGTTAGCCTTTCCACGGAGCTTTTTGGATCCCCAACCCCCTAACAAGTTGGTCTAGCCATCGAGAAGCTGTTATTTTGACAAAATATTTGGGGCATTATCAAAATCACACAGGCGGCTGGGCTGCTGTCGCCTTCTCTTTGGGGCCAGTAGGCAATCACATTTGGAGATGCTGTGAGTCGTTTGGAGACTGGGCTATGGAGAGAGTTGAGCCAGTATTTTTCATCCAAAATACTACAAATTGAGCTAACCATAACTCTAGTATAAACGCGTCCTTTTTTTATGGGGGAGAGGCTTTTAAGCATTAGTGATAAGGTAGCCCTTTAATGATTGATTATATTCAGCACAAGTTAAGGGGTTGGGGGCTGCAGTCAGGAAAGCCTTTCAAAATCCCCATGTTTAATTTTCTGGCGGTTCCTGCATCCTGTTGCCAGGACTCCAAATGCTTGGAGTCATTTAGAGGTGTGAGAACTCCAATGTTGTTCCACTTGGAAAGGGGACCAGTTAACGTTAAATTCCATTAGCACCTAAACTGTTTTTTAAAAAGACAACCGCTCAGACACAGGGCATTTCATGCAAATATATTTCTCAAATTTTAAACCTTGTTAAAAGCTTGTCTCGCACCTCGGCTCCCTCCCTTCCCAAAAGAGAACAATAGGCCGCTGGCTCATCCCCACTTCGGAGTAAATATTGACAAGGAAAGTTGCTAAAACATTTGGCTTTCTTTTAGGAACTCGTCTTTTGCGATTTTGGCTGAGACCTGGTCGTAGATGAATAATCTGTGAGGCAGGAGGCGCGTTCTTCTGCGTCTCTCTTCTCACGCGAACGCCCTGCGGGGCGGTACTGCCTGGGGCTCTTGCTGGCCCGGGCGAGGGTCTAAGTTGGGAATCGCAAACCCTCTGGTGCCCATTAGAGAATTTCACAAACGGCTGACAAACCACCGTCAGTCCCCTGCGACCCACCCCGAGGTGGGCTTTAAAAACACATTAAGTGAGAACCGCTTTACAGCTTCGGCTCACACCAGATTCATTTAATGGGAAACAGTCCCGAGAAGGGCGTTTGGACCCTGAGTAAAAGAAAGGGGAAAACACACAAGCCTCTGAAAAACAGATAATCCACTCAAGGCAGAAAAGCTCATTCAGACTAGCCGACAAAGTCCTTGCTAGGCTTGCTTCCCAGACATCTAGTTAGAGCAGAATTGTTTTATTTTGTGCGCTCTATTTAGAATGGAAATTATTCACCAGGTCTGGGAGAGGAAATCGCTTCACTTCAAGCATATACTGGTATCACACTGACCATTTAAAGTTCAATTTCCGCACATGGAAAAATTCCAGCCCAATACCCTACCATCCTCCAACAAAAACAAGCCGCTGGCTGTCCTGCACTCTCCCAGGTCTCTGGCTGGTGGGTAGCTTCTAGCGCGCGCAAACACGAACACACACACACACACACACACACACGAACACACACTCAGCCTGTGCGTTTCTCTTCGAGGTGCCTCTTCCCACTCCGGACCCACGATTACCTGTGTGGGTCCTTTTGTGGATCTTGAGGTTCTCGGAGCGTGCGAAGACCTTGCCGCAGCCCGGGAAAGGACAGGGAAAGGGTTTCTCGCCGGTGTGCACACGGATGTGGTTGACCAGTTTGTATTTGGCCTTGAAGGGCTTGCCCTCGCGTGGACACTCCTCCCAGAAGCAGACGTGGTTACTCTGCTCCGGGCCGCCGACATGCTCCACCGAGACGTGGGTCACTAGCTCGTGCATGGTGCTGAAAGTTTTGTTGCAGCTTTTCTTCGGATTGCTTAGCTGCTCGGGATCAATCCACTTGCAGATGAGCTCCTGCTTGATGCACTGCTGCCGCATGTAGCGGAAAAAGGCACCAGGGTGGTGGTGATGGTGGTGGTGGTGGGCTGCGGCCGCTGCCATGTTCATCCCCATGTTCATATTCATGGGGCCATACTGGTTGTGGAGTTGCGCCGCCGAGTAGGGGTCGGTCCGCGGGCTGGCCACTTGGCGGTATTGCTCCGAGCGCCCGAACACTTCTCCCGGCAGCCCTAGGCGCATTTGCCCGTTGAGCACGTTCTGAGAGCCGTGCGGCCCGTGCTGCTCCGGGAGGCCCGGGAAGAGGAGGTGGCCCTGCGCGTCTGAGTGCGCGTGGTGCAGGCCGCCCGCGCCCGGTCCGAAGAGCCCGTGCTGGCCGCCTCCCGGCGCCGAGTCCCCGAAGCCGCGGCTGCGGAACAGGAAGTCCCGGGTGGAATTAAAGGGAGGCCCGGAATAGGAGCCAACGTGTGCGGCGTGGGGCCCTAGTGCTGCGGCCGCAGCGGCAGCCGCAGCAGAGCCCGGGTATGCGCCCGGACCTTGTGACGTGAACGCGGAACTCTGACCAGGAGACAGTTCGTGCGCCCCGGGGTTGAGCTTGAAGGCGCCCATGTGCGCCGCGGCTGAGTCCACGAAGCCGTTCTGAGCAGCAGCCAGGCTCAGCTCACGGTCCTGCATCTCGGCAGCCGCCGCCGCCGCCGCCGCGGCCGAGTGATGGTGGTGGCGCGCGAAGCTGCCCACCCCGATGGCCGGGAACTGCGGCCCCGCGTCCAGAAGCATGGCCAGCGCGCCCGGCCGACCTGTCGGCCCCAGTAAGCCCTGCCGCCTCGGTTCCCTCTTCCGATCGGCGAGGCGCGTCCTCCGAACGCCCGGCTCCGTGAGCCCGCGCTGAAAACACTGGCGACTGCAGCCCTGGGAGTCGCGCTGCTAGCCCGCCGCCGCCGCCTGGATCTGCCTCGGGCCGCCGGGCGCGGAGCGAAGGCACGGAGAGGAAGAGGAGGCGGCGGCGGAGGAGGCGCGGGAGGAGGAGGTGGAGGAGGAGAAGAGTCCAAAGCCAGGAGGAGAACCAAAGTGTATTAAAGGAGCTGCGGCGGGGGCGGGCGGGCAGGGCAGGGGAGGGCGGGCGGGAGGAGGGAGCGGAGGGAGGTGTGGGGAGCGGAGGAGAGGGGGGCCGCCGGAGGGCGAGCGCTGCGCCGCGGCCCCCACCCCTGCGCGCCCCCGCGCGCGCACGCACGCACTCACTCACTAGCTGCCTTGCACTGCTGGCGGACCCGGTGCCTAGCTGAGATCAGCGGCGTCCGCCGAATGAAGTCACCGCAGCCGCGGGGCCACGGTGCCCCAGGGCAGCGGCTGTGCACCGGCAGGCAGGCCAGGAGAAGACTGCGACGAGCTCCGCCAGCCCCAGAGCCTAGGGCACCCGCGGCTCCACCTGATCTCGGTGGGGGCGCTGGGCAGCCCGGAGGAGGAGGCCAAGCGCCTGGTCTGCGGCGCTCTCGGGTGGCCGCTCCCTCCCCCGAGGCCTTGCTCGCGCCGCCCAGTGCTCTGCCCGTGTCGTTCGGCTCCAAGGCTGCGAGGTTTAGCCCTCTTGGTCCTTCGAGCTTGGCATTGGCGGCGCCGGAGTAGTAAACTTGCTGCGGCCACGAATTCCCCCAGATGAAGGAAACGGGCGCGTCGCTCCCTCTTTCTTTAAGTTGGGCCGGAGGAGGAGGCGGGGGGAAGAGTAGGGGAGGGGGGCTGTGGGAGGGGAGAAGGCGAGGAGGGGGAGGGGAGCAGGGTTAGGCTAGGCAGAAAAACAATAACAACAATAAAAAAGTGATCTTTGGTTCTCCTTCCAGCCGAACCGCCTTGGGTGCTAGTCCGCAAGCAAGTGCTTGCACCAACAAGGACAGAGCGTTGTCCTCGGCACAAGCAAATACCAGGAGGCCAACGCGAGTTCCTCCCTTGCGGCTGCGGTGGGCAGCTTTTGCCGCCGCCTCTGTTTATTTCGGTGGGCGCTGAGACCGCAGAAGCAGCCTTCTATTTTATTTATTTATTTTTTTGTCCCCCCCCTCCCCTTTCTTCTCCTCTCCCCTCCCCCTCGTACCCTAGTCTCCGGCCCGGGTATTCCTCCCTTCGGATCCAGACCGGGCCTCCTGGTCACACCGCCCCTTTAACGGCGGCTCCCGCCCATCCCGCCCTCCTGGAATGGCTATTGGCCACCGTGGCCTCGTCAATCTTGCGCCCCCGCCCTGCGCCCAGCCCTCCCCACCTTCCCAGCTCCTAGCTGGCTCTACAGGGCCACAGCGGTGGCGGAACGCACCCGCAGACTGGGCCTGCTAGGCAGCAGCGCTTTGCCTGCCTGTCTAGCCCAGTGGCTCCCAGCCCTAGCGGACTAAAACAGGAGCCCAGCTGCGAGCGTAATGGGGTCCTAGGCCTAAAGGTCCTGTCGCCTTCCACGGGATCCTGACCTGGAGAGGGATTGCACTCTGAACCCGCTAACTTTGTGGGAGGCTACCAACTCCCCAGGGATCACATCCACTCTCTAACGACGCAGAAAAACTCGGGAACCCTGGCCCAAAGCACCCTTGGCTGTAGAGACCTGATTAACAACCGAGTTACCATACGGAGTCCCTGAGGGAGCGAGGAGACTTTTAGGGACAGGAACAAGTCTATTACCCCTGCCCTCACTTAGACCAATTTGCTTTGAGGTGTTGAAACACGGGTGAAGGACGGTGGACACAGATAAAGTCAAACTTAACTCCATTCCACTCCCTGGACACTCACCTAGACTTCTGTCCTACCCCAGGCAATGGTTCCCGCCTCCCCTCGGGCGCACTTAGCCCCCACCCCCCACCCTGAGGCCCGCGTTCAGCTCAGATTACAGGAGTAAAGCCTAGGCAGCAGTCTCCTGAGAGGCAGGGGCATGGGGTTGTTTGGAAGTCGTTTAAAGACAGTGTCACCCTCAGGGTGGATGCCCACTGATCCGGTCCACGGCCACACTGAGCTAGGAAGTGGGATGCCCAGAATCAAGCAAGGTTTAGGCCTTAATTTGGCTGTTGATATATCAGGCCCAGGGCCTCGGAAAAATAAACTGTGAGGCTTAACCCTTCTTTACGGTAAATGTCACTCATTCTTTAATGAACACACCGCAAAGCTTCACCCAAGCGCCGCCCTCGACCCTAGGCTGGCTGACCATTAAGGACATCCCACGGTCCTCAGATCGCGCTCAAGTGGTAACGGGAGAGGGAATTGTGGGCCCAGAGTCTGGGGAAGAGAAGGGACAGCCTGTGGTCAAAGTCTTTCTTCGCCTTTGGCAGGCCTGAGATTGCTTTTATTTGTAAATCTTTGGGAACTGAGATAAAAATTCGAGCAAGAGAATAAGCACCCACTTCGAAATTTTATATTGAAATGAAATCACAAATTTAAAAAAAACCCACGCTGGAAGAATAAATACTCTTGTTCAGGATTGTTGCAATGAATTGGGATCTCCTGCCTGCTCAAGCAGATTCTCATACCTTAAGGGGGTCTGGCTCCACTATTGGAGCTGGCCGCAGCCCCTTTTATAAAGGCTCCCTTCTCTCCCTCTGTGTTCCCGCTTCCCTGCCAAGGGAGAGGGGAGGAACGGCCAGGAGAAGAAGCTAAAATCAGGAGCTTTCCTGGAAGCTGGAGGGAGGAAATAGTTCTCTTTCCCCACATACCTTTACCTCTTCTCTCAAAGGGCAGATGCCAAACTGGCACGCTAGACTGCGCGGCGCGCGCAGGGTGGGGGGTGGGGGGCATCTAAGCCGACAGGCTTCTATCCATTTATTTAAAAACCTGTCCAGTTCAGTCTTTCACATTTACTTACCTTATTTATCAATTTATACTGAGAAGTGCATATAACGGTTTGCTCTAAAAATATTACCTTCCTTCCTTCCTTCCTTCCTTTCTTTCTTTCTTTCTTTCTTCCTTTCTTTCTTTTCTTTCTTTCTTTCTTTAACCTAAGATTGATTGTGAGAATAACAGTCTTACTCATCCAAAGACCTTATTGCCTTCTTTCAAGCCCCCACAGCTGCCGGTTTTTCCCTCCTCTCCCACTTTCTCACCCCTCCCCACTCTTCCCTCCCTCTCCTTTTTGACCTATTCTCTCCTTTCGCTTTGATTTCTCCTTTGCTGTGCCCGCATTTCAGGACGGCTCGGCTGGGCGCTTGCTCGCGCTGGATTCCAGGGCCGAGCGGTAGGGCCGACGCCTTAATTCCCGCCGGAGAGCTCGCGGGCTGGGCCCTCCTGGCTATTCTTTCCCAGCTCCAGTTCTCCTCTCACTGCAGGAAGCAGAGGAGCTGAGCCAAGTTCAAAGTCACGTCTCCATACCCTCTCAGAAGTATTTTATTTCTCTGCAAACAGAAAAAAAAAAAAAAAACCTTTTCCTTGACTTTTTTTTTTTTTTTTTTGAAGGAAGGAGAGGGAAGACCAAGAGGGAAAGAACAAGGGAACAGGGGTGCGTGTGTGTGTGTGTGTGTGTGTGTGTGTGTGTGTGTGTGAAGGCTTTCTGGATTGTTGCCTCAAAAGTAGACAGGTTCCTTAGAGGAAGGAAGACAGAAAAGAGGGCAGGAAGGGGCAGGGAGAGGGGAAGGAAGGAATAAAGGAGGAAGGAAGGAAGGAATAAAGGAGGGAAGGAAGGAAGGAAGGAAGGAAGGAAGGAAGGAAAGAAGGAAGGAAGAAAGGAAGGAAAAGGAAAGGAAGACGCCATGAGTGAATTCATTTTCTCAACAGGTTTCCAGGAAAAAGTTGATCTGCAGTGATGTCAAACTCCCAAAACCTGTAGCAAGCATGTTCTTTCTTCGTAAGTTCCTCCAAACTGTTCTTTCCAAACAGGGCAAGACATACACAGGGCAAAACCTCAGCTTGTGGCTGAGGAGGCTATCCATCCCTGGGTTCCTGCCAAGGGTGCATTTTCCAGCAAGTGGAGAGAATCAAGGCTTGATCAAAAATTCGTGGTGTGTTTACAAAAATAAAAATAGGGCATGGGGGTAAGCAAAGCCCACAAGCATCCCACCATCCATGGAGCAACTCCTTGTGATCTGTGGGCCTCTGAATGGTGTCTGCTGAGGTCTCTTGTAGCAGGATGCGCACACACAGAAGAATGAATGCATTGTGTATTCACCTATTGTGTTCTCACGCATATAGGTATACACTGTGGGACAGGAGACACCAAATACAAAACAAACTCTTGGCCCCAGGAACACAAAAATCTTGATTTTTTTTTCATAAAGGAATGAAAAATGGGAGAGAGGAGTTGTGAGAAAAATGCATGGACTACATTGTCTCTGTATCTTAGGCCAAAATAATATTAATATTAATAATTTTATTTTTTCTTAGTTCTAGCGCCACTATCATCGATATCACAGGACTACAATTTAACAAGATCATCAACAGAATATTAAGTTGAAGGTCATTTTTGATTCTGCTTTCTCAGCTACTCCTGAGTTGGGTGACCCCTGACCCATGAAAGACCACATGTGTGCTCTGGGAAACCCTCTTCTGTAAAACCCTCCTAGAACAAAAGTCTCTGGTCAGGCGTTAGAACGCTGTGAAAACCCTAGCCAGAGCTGTAACTGTTAAATATCATTAAGAATGGTGAGAGTCAAGATCCCAGAAGACAAAGCTCTCCTGTGGCTTCATTTCTTTTCATTTTTATAGTTAAACACTGTAGTTGAGATAATTTTAAAAAATATCAATATAATATAGGTGTCCACCAGTAGTTTAGTGAAGAGAACATAAATAGTTTTGTACTTCTCAGAATGGGGGTGAAATGGCCATCAGCCACAGAGCCACCCCCCCTCAACTGGGTGACAGTAATTGTGCTTTTGGAAAAAGAGGAGAATTAGTTGTCCTTCCTCATCTCCTCTTTTGATAGAAGTGTTTTAATGCTATAAAACAAAACAAAACAAATAGACCAAAAACAACAACAAAAAAAAAAAAAGGAAAAAAAAAACCAGGGGGCTGTAGCTTACAGGAGCACATTCAATTATTTCAAAGATTGTTATCCTTTGGGCTCCCAG